ATATATATACACACACACACATCCATGTTTATAGTGGCATAATTTGTAATAACTAAATAATGGAAACACTCCCAGGAGAGAGATGTTGTATATATATATGAGCTGAGTGTGGAAAGCCTTTAGTAATAGCTCAAATCTTACCAAATACCAGAGAATACACATTGGGGAGAAACCTTACTTGCATACCAAATATGGGAAGGCTTTCAGCCACAGCACCAATCTTATCTTTCATTACAGAACACACTTTGTGGACAGGTCCTATAAGTGTGGGGAAGCCTTCATACAGAGCTTAGGCCTTCTTAAACATCAGAAAATGCACACAAAAGATGCGTTGTACCAATGTAGATTGCAGAAAGGCTTTTGGTGACAAAGGCAGCCTCATTGATATCCACATGGAGGAGAAACCATATTAGCATAATGAGTGTGGGAAGAGCTTCAATCAGCACACAGGTCTCAGTTCATATCAGCGCCTCCACACTGGAGAGAAGCCCTATAAATGTAAGGAATGTGGGAAGCCTTCAACTACAGCTCAAAGTTTAATGAACATCATAGAATCTACACTAGGGAAAAGCCCTATGATATAATCATTGTGGAAAAACTGTAGCAACATCATATTTTTCCAAATATCAGAGAGTATATATTGGAGAGGGAGAAGTGCTCTGTCAAATATGGCCTTTGGCTGTTGTCTTTGTAAACATTAGAATGCAATGCAAACAGCTGATAAGATTTTGCTCCACTCTGTATCAAAGGCTGCCCTTGAAGTGAGCTCTGCAGGTCCACAGATAGCAGCAGTGGGCTGTGCCCTGGTCACCTCCCAGGGCAGAGTCCCCTTCCCTACATTGTATGACCCCATGAATCATGCCAGCATTGTCTTCTGTGTAGTTAAACTGATGTGTATCCAGTATAATAAAGGAAGAAACATTAAAACTTGTTTAGTAGCCAGGTGTGTTGGCACTCGCCTATAATCACAGCACTCGGGAGACTGAGGCAGGAGGATCGCTGTGAGTTTGAGACCAGTCTGGGCTACACAGTGAGTTCCAGGTCAGTCTCAGCTATAGTGAGACCCTGTCTCAAACACCCGCCTCCCGAAAAAAAACAAACAAAAAAAACCCAAAACTTGTTTAGCTGTTGTGTTCTGGAACTATAGTTTGTAAAATACTGAGCCATCTGCATAGAATTAAGATTCAGAATAAACTTAAAACATCAAAAAAAACATTACTAATAAAGTTAGTAATCCCCTCTGCATTGCTAAATCCAGTTAAGTGATTATCAGCTCTCATCTTACGTTACCTACCAGCAGTAATCATCATAGCTGCTCATTTACTATTTCCAAAATGTTATTTCCCTTGGCATGCAACACACTCTTCTACATTTCTAACTTTCTGATAACTGTTCCTTTCTCATGACATTAGGTCCCATCTATATGCTGACAACCCAAAACTGATTTCTTTGGTCTCTACTTTACCTATGAATTCCACACATGTACATCTAACTGGCTAACATCTCCACTTGGATGTCCACTATCAGACTCCAAGCTTCAAACATTCAAAATTGAAGTCCCAATTTCCCTTCTACCTTTGTTCTTCTCAATTACAGCAGTGTTACGTGGTACCCATACTTCCAGCTGCTGAAGCCAAATCTTCCCCTCACACTCCACATCCAACCCTAATCAAATCCTAATGGTGTCACCTTCAAACTATACATAGAATCCAACAGCTTTTCACCAGCTGCCACCCTCATGGTTCTGCAACCATCTTGCACCAGGGTTTCTGCAAGAGCTTCCTAAGTGGCCTCTTGGTTTCATTCTTGCTTCACCCCCGCAGACCAATCTCAACAAGTAGCCGGAGTAATTTCTTCAAAAGTAAGTCAGATCCTATCCCTCTGCTCTAAACCTTCCAATGGTTTACTCAGAGTACAAACTGCTATTCACAGAATAAGAGCCAAGGTTTTCATGAAGGTCTATGAGGCCTTCCCTTTCTACCTCACTCACTCCTACTCTTCTCCCCACTCCACTCCAGCTGCACTAACTTCCTTCTTGTTCCTCAAATACTTCAAAAGCACATTCTCCCTGAGATGCTGTGATACCTTCCCTGACAATCCTTTGCTCAGGGAGCTGTACCATCTCCAGGGTATGTGAGTGAAGCCTGTCTGGCCACTTTATTTAAAAGCTGCAGCTGGGAGTAGTAGCATATGCCTGTAATCCCAGCACTGTGGAAGGCTAAAGCAGGAAGATTACAAGTTTGAGCCCAGCCTGGGCAACTTAGTAATTTAGCAAGATCCTTTCTCAAAATAAAAAATAAAAAAAGTCTGGGAATGTAGGTCACTATAAAGGCTCTGGGTTCATTCCCCAGATTCATGGGCCCTGAAAAATTGCAACTCTCCTCATCTTACCTCCTCTACTATCTTTCAAGCTTTATTCATTTTCTATTTTCATAGTACTTATCACCTCCTGATATACATCTTACTAACTTAAAGAATTTTCTTCACCTTCCACTCTCAGTAGAATGCATAACTCATTAAGAATGTTTTGCTTTGCTATGCCTTGTGCTTAAACTACTTAGAACATAGTAGATGCTCAACAAATATTTGCTGAATGATCAAAGGCAACTGAAAAGAGCTCAAACATGCTCACTTTATGAACTCTGACCACTTGACAAGGTAAATGTTCTCTACATTGTGCAGATTGTATAGTATAAGAAAATAATGTAAGTGCTGTAACTATCCTTTTCCTACCAGAATCTATAAGCAGATGTGTTATGTAAGATGTTATGCAAAATGTACATGGGCTTACTTTCTTTAAAGTATTCCAAAAAAGTTAAAACATTTTTCAGGAAGAAATGTTTTATCACATTTGAAAATTAGTAATTCTGGAAAGATGTAAAGGTTAAAAAAAATAAGGGCACTAAAGAAAGGATTCCCATCTTTTCCCATAGCTTGGGGTAATACATCCTGATAGCAAAAAAAAAAAAAAAAAAAGTTTGTGCAAACAGAAGAAAAAATGATTATAGTTTCTAAATTGTTGATGTTTTAGAGCAGCAGTGTCAGATCTAAGGCAAGCACATGACAGTGGGCTGAAAGTGGTATCACTGAAAGTTGTAAAAGGTTTACTGTCACTGCTTTAGGGAGGATATTTTCTAGTTATTTAGTATTACAAATACTTAAATTTTCTGTTTAACTTTTATTGATAGTTCATATTTATAAATTATACAACGAAAGAGAATGTGACATAAATGTGTGCATGTTTGTGGGTGAGCGAGTCTACCACAAGCCACTCAAATTTAACTTTTCTTACCAGCTTTAATTAATGCATAAGAGAAACAGCCAATATAAGAAAAGCTTATTCATTAACTTCTAGGACAAACCACATTCACTCTTCCAGAGACCAGGCCCATTGAGGGAAATAAAGATGTCAGGGATTACTTCTTAAAAGATTTTGTCAGAATATCTGCTGAACCACAATGTAATTAAAATGATTCAATATATAAAAATTAAATTTCTAGCCAGCTTTAGTTTAAGAGACATAAAGACAAAAGGTCAAATGTGAGGGAGAAAGGAATGACAGAATATGTAAAAGTTAACACATTTTGCACAGTACCTATAAAATTCTTCTTTACCAGCCTTTCCATCATTGGCAGGTATAAGCCATCCACCATCAGCCAACTGTATTCCCTTTCCGGCCTGTAAATCTTCCTTACCAAAATAATCCTGAGTGTGAAACTGAAAAGACTCAGCATTTTTGCTATTAATTTTCATGCAATGTTTAGATACGCCATACATATAGAGCTGCACAAATAGAAAAAATTAACAAAAAACAAAGTAAAAAACACCACACACACACACAAAAGTAGTAACATCCCAACAATGAATGTAACAAAACCTTTTCATGTATTTATTTTTTGGTAATGGGGAATGAACTTGGGACCTTGCGCTTGAGAGGCAGACGGTGGAACCACTGAGCTAAATCCCGGCCCCTAAAATCTTTTCATTTAAATACTAAAATACTTATTATAAATATATTTACTGGCCTGATGGTAAAGCTGACTGGCAGAGTGCATGCTAAGCATGTGCAAGGCCATGGGTTCAATCTCTAGTACCACACACACAAATGAAAATCCCCTCAAAACAAAAAACCTTTACTGGAAGCTAGGAATTGTAATGTATTATAAATAACCTATACCTTCAAAAGCCTGTGCATGTTTCATTTCTTTTGTGTATATGCCACCTCCTGCTAGAATGCCACAGGAAGGCACTCTGGGGATTAAAAAATAATTTACCAAATCTATTAAGTTCCAAAGGGTGGAAAGGAGAGAATATGGGAAAGTGCAAGTAATTTAGGGAGTCTGACCCACCTCTGAGGTCCTTTCTTTCACTTCAATGTGCATAACCCTTCCTCTGAGACTGTGGCTCTTCCACTTACTAGTTCTATGGTTCAGTCCTCTCATTTATAAAACAATGGACAAAATACTAGTGTCTTTCTTTGGGGTGGTTGCGAGGATTAACTTAAGTGATATATAACTGATGCATGTAAAGAACTAAGAGTTCCTTGAGTATAAAAAACAATGTTAGCTGGCGATACTATCAACATTATTCCCACCTTTCTGTCGCAAAAAAATTCTACCTAGATAATTATGGCTTGCCCACAATCTTCTTCTAAAAATATAAATAAATAGCCTTTAGAAGGTTAATGGCTATCAATTATTCACACTTTACATTCAAGGTGACCACTTTCCTATAAAGCCTAGATTTGAAGAATTAAGAGAAAGAACGATTTTTAGGCACAGAGCACTTTGACAGGGTAAGGCAGGTCTGGCAAAGGAAAGGGAGGAGTCCACGGAAGGCTGATGTGGAAATATGATTTCATTCATCTCTTCTAGCAGTGATATGCTGATTCTTTAAACAATCTGCAGATATGAGTTAATAAAGTCACCCTTTAGTATAAAAGCTCTAAGACTTATAGACAAAGATGTACCTGTTTATGAGAACATGCAGAGGGAACTCGGCCTCCCACTGCCGCTTTCAGAGAGATTCGAGGCAGAGTGGATGTTTTTGCAAGATACAGGCTACCTGGTTGTGGAAAAATACACTGCCTTTCTTTCTTTTTAATTCGATTATCCTGTATTTCTCTGGCATTCTGAAGTTTTGTCATTAAATCTGTTGAAAAAGCAAAAAATTAAACTAGCTATAAATTTAAAAAGTACAACCTCTACTTCATAAAATTGCACATCAACATTCTCAAATTTTACAAGCAGAGAAAAGAGCTCCTACTCCAAAATATTCAAGGATTTAAAAAAATTCAATTTGTAAGACTGTATAGAAATAAATATATTATTTTTGACTCCATGTTTGAAGAAAATTTGCAGTATAATATATCTATTTCAGCAAGTGCAGTCCTAGACTGTGTGTCTAATCACCTAATTTTTAAAAACAAGAAAGACTATGAACGGTTATCTTCAAAAGAAAACATGAAATTTAAACCTGATCTCTGGATTTAGTTAATCTGAAGCAATCATTAAAAAAGGTTCTGAAATTATTATTATTTTTGGTATTGGGGATTGAACTTGGGACCTTGCACTTGTAAGGCAGGTGCCAGAACCACTGAGCTAAATCCCGGCTGAACTTATTAATCGCAACAAAATGAGGAAACCCCTCAGGACATATTTAGTAAGGTAACTATCTAACCAAAGGAAAAATAGTCATACAAATTGTCTTACAATACCTAAAGGTTCTTCTTTACACTTTGTGAAAATTACGTCTGTTGCTTGATTGGAGCTGTTTTTATTAAACTGATGAATCTCACTGTCATTATTTTCACTATCACCAGAGCCATATTCATCTATATTTTTTTGTTTTTGTTTGTTTGCATCTAAATTAATATCCTTGCTCACACAATATTCATCTTTGTGAAAATGTGATTTAGTTTTGAAAGGTGGAACAAAGACTTTGGTTGATTTGCCTGTAGTAATTCCCACTTTTTCATTTCTTACAGTAGGAATATTACAAAATGGCTGCCTTGAAACTGGTAAACTGTTTGAAGATTTTTCCAAAGTCAAGTGTTCAGAAAGATGAGATTTAGACAGGAATTCTCGAGCAGGTACAGTAAAATTTAGATTCTGGATTTCTTGACACTTGTTAGTTGTGCTACATTGGAGAGAAAATAAGATTATTTAGCAGCAAATGCGCACATACAAATGTGTGTGCAAATGTGAACCCTCAAACGCTCCATGCCCATCCTATCCTGGTAACTGTTTCGCATTCATCATGGGTGCCATCCCAAAACACAACATACTTTTCAAGGCTATGACTGTTTTGCACATACTTATTCCCAGCCTTGGACTTCACACAATAGAAAAGGCTGCCAAATGTGGACCTTTTCAATGTGTCTTCTCCACTCTACCGCAGTGCTTCTGTCTTACCTCCACCTGGGGAACTATCTCCCATATTTATTCTCTATGGGTCCTCCTCTATCACTAGTCCCATCTATCATGGTCACCTCAGGAGCCTTACTCTGAATTAGTACCCTACTTTTCTCTCTCATTTAAGAGCAGCACTAAATAGCTGACCGGAAGGTCTGTGTGCTGACAGGGCTCTTGTCAATTGTTGGCTTCACTGTGTGATGCCTGGGAATGTCATTTCATCTGAGTACTCTCAACCATCAATACTTTTAGGTCTTTTCTACTAGGCTGATCACATTCATTCCTCACAAAATCTCCCAGTCTCCTGCTAGCTTTGTGAGCCAAGTGTGGGAAGAAGGCTAGGGATTCTACTGCTTGACATACAGATTTTTACTTCATTTCAGTTTTCACTGTTCTTTCCTTGGCTGTCCCCCGCACCCTAACTCACACTCAAATCAGAATTACAATTCATCCTCTCCATAGAATAAACTTCTAGTCTTCTGAAGAAAAGCAAATGCCCATCAGCAAGAGAAGAGGGGATACAAATGCTTCTTAAACAGAATTTCAGTTAATCTCTCTATTTTCTACTATACCATGGGAAGTACACGTTGCTGCTTAAGTTGAATCTTCCTCAGGTTCTTTAGGGGAAACTGGGTAGCTTCTCTGCTTGCTCTAATGTAAGGTTTTAGTTTTCTTAGGCTTGCTATGCCATTCATGTTTCTGGCTTCGAAACTCATTTGATTAGTGTCTGGAGAAGTATGTTAAAAAATTCTATTGGTAATCTTGGTAGGGTTTAGATAGGGAAAAGAATAATCTTAACATCTGCTGTCTTTTTACTAACTGATTTGAATATTCCCTTAGTCCATCTCAATCTTAGTATATCATCCATAAAATTGGAATATAATCTGTTGTGCTACTTTACAAAGTTGCCTAGAAACGGAAAAGTGAAATAACAGTATGAATTACAAAAATACTACCAAAATACTAAATTTTTAATCCTGATTCAGGCTTTTAAAAACAGAAATGTTAACTTCTTTACTGTAAATTTGTGCCACTGGTTTCAGAAATATTAATTTTTAAAAATATATAATTTTCCAACATTAGAAGTTTTAAATAATTTAAACACATGTTACCAAGAGGGTCCACAGGTAATTGGCTCTAAAGAAATGTGATGTGTAACCAGCTTTCTATCTTTTATTGTACCTAGAAAAAAATAATTTGACATTAATAATAAAAGTCTAGTGGGAGATTTTGTTTTCTATTTATTACATATACTATTATAAATATTCACACAAAAGTCTGAGAAAATTATATTTTAAAAATTTCAATGGACATCATGGACACACAGAAAATAATAATTATCAAAAGAAATACTTGAGGGCCAGGGCTCAGTGCTGCTGCCATCTGCCTTGCAAGAGCAAGGTCCTTAGTTTGATCCCCGGTACCAAAAAACAAACAAACAAACACCTTGATTCTCAAATTGATAATGACTAGATAGCAAATAACTCATGGTACAGACATGTATATCAGTTATAAATTTAGTCAGCTGATGTTAACAATTACAACTCAAAGGTGTTAGTTAACGGTCAATGGGAATATCAATCTAAAATTTACTCTTATCAAGATTTAAAGAGCCTCAGGTACTATTCATGTTCAATACGTGATTTATACTTATAAATTAGCCCAGTGATAGGGACTGGCTGAATAAACTAAGATATACCAGTGTATAACACATAATCAAGTACTATGCAACCATAGAAAGAATGATGATCTTTATGTACTCAAGAAGGGATCCCTAGGTAAAATTTAAAGTAAATGACAAGAAGATATAAAACAGTGTATATATATTTTCAATAAGAAAGGACTGTGAGAATACATACTTGTATGTACATAGTTATTTTATAAATAGGGCCACAAGAAAAAATATATATGTTTATTTTACCAAAGAATCCTAAAAGGATAAACTGGAAACCATTAAAAATCTTGAGCAAGAGGTGGGAAAGGTGGTGAGTAGTATGGAGTGATAGGGAAGGAACCAAGACTTCTCTAAGTACATCTTTCAGTAATGTTTGAAATGAGCTATGTAAATGTTTTATTTTTTTCAAATGTAAGCTTCAAAGAAAAAGAACTACAACTGAAAACAAATAAACAACTCTTATCAAATTGGTAAGCACACATTGAGGAATTATTTTGACATTTAAATATAGCACTTGACTGCATATCTTTAAAGGATAAATATTCTGAGCAAAAACTTCATAAAATTTTTCATTTTCCAATAGCAGATTTATCGTTACTAGCTTAAATCGATACTGTGAATCTGAAACTATTTTATGCACAGTACTGTGGGACAGTGAGTCTCAAAGATACTCTCTACAAAACTGAGGAGTGCCCGGTCTTTTAGAGAACCCAAGTTGTCAAACTGTCTTAATACTATTAAGATGTTATGTTGGAGGTTGTTCTCTTTTAGTACTTGAAATATATATACATATATATATAAATTGAATTTTGGGAAACTTTAACGGTGCTGCCAACTTTGGAAAAAGTCATCCCAATTTACTGTGTTGAGTTGGCATTGCACAGAAATGGACAACCATATTGGTGTAGAAATGTTAATTTATTTTTATTTTTTATTTTTTTTCCATGTGTACAGGGGTAACACAGCGCACTAAATATGTAAGGTTATATCTACGTGGGTTTGATTACAGAAACTAATAAAGTATTCTCTAAATAATGAAAAAAGAATAAGATAAGACTAAGAGCAAGAATCTCTTTTACTTTCCTTTTTAGTTATATTTTAGGATTCCCTATTTTTAATGTTCATACAGAGATTTCTTTAACTGAAATACCGAATAGTTTCTTTGGTGCAAAAACTATAATAGTACACAGGATCCTAATGAGATAATTAATAATGTGAAATAGGAAGTAAAGGGCTAAAGGTGTAGAGAAAGTAGGAAGGGTGGGGGAAAGGTAATAAGGGAGAGGAAAAAAATATGAGAAACTGAAAAAATGGAAATAAAGTGTTTGTAAATGGGGAGAGGAGGGGGGTGAAGGGAGGGCAGGGACAAGGGGAAAAAATGAGAATCAAGACCTATTATGTAAAAGTACAGAATCCCAATGATGAATGTAACTGTACTGTATACCTCGATTGTACCAATAAACTCAATTAAAAAAAAAACAAAAAGATGTTATTTTTTTTCACAGTGCTAAAACATATTTGCCCTTGTAGTTTATTCGGCTATATCAGTGCAACTACTGTCTCAAGAAAATACACACTGATGAGTAAACTAAATGTATTATTTTTAGCTGGGTGTGGTGGCACACGCCTGTAATCCGGGAGGCTGAGGCAGGAGGATCACTGTGAGTTAGAGACCAGCCTGGGCTACAAAGGGAGTTCCAGGTCAGTAACCTCCCCGCCCCCGCCAAAAAAAAAAAACAAAAAACAAACAAAAAACAACAAAAACAAAACCCTAAATGTATTTTTTTTTTCTTCACAAAATTACCATTTTTACTTGAAAGAACAGCCAACAAACTACAGTTATTCAGACTTGGGTATTCTGGAGATATTTTTTCAAAACTGAATGAAATGAGTTTATCACTGCAAGGAAAAGAAGTGACAATATTTTTCCCAGTAGTAAAATTCAAGCTCTTAAATGAGAAGTTTGATGTTGAGGAAGCTAGTATCTGGCTAAAAACTTAACAGCTTCTTAATACTTGGGACTTTTTACATTAGATCAGTGATGTCAGTAACAGAGCTGATCAATACGGCATAATAAACTTTGTTACCTGTTGGAAGATCTGCATAACTCAGTAAACATTTTCTAAATTACCAATGAACAATGTTACAAATATTAAAATTTCTCAACTTCAATTTCTAATATGATAAATATCAATAGATATAATCCAAATATACAAACGTTTTTCAGATCCTCCATAATTTTTGAGCCTACAAAGAGGTTCTGAGACATTAAAAATAAAAGCTTTCAAACTACTGCAAAGTAAAGTAAAAAAAAAATTTTTTTTTTTGGTTTTTTTAAAACAGGGTCCCACTATGTAGTTGAGACTGACCTGGAACTCTATGTAGCGCAGGCTGGTCTCAAACTTACAGTGATCCTCCTGCCTCAGCCTCCCCAAATGCTGGGATTACAGGAGTGCGCCACCATGCCCGGCTAAAAATGGTTTTATTGGGCCAGGAATGTAGCTCAGTGGCAAAGCATCTGCCTAGCTAGCACAAGGCCCTGAGTTAGATTCTTGGTACCAAAAAACAAAAAAGTTTTTATTAGGAACTAAGAACGTAAATGAAACAAAAAACACTATCAGAAGTAATAATATGGCTACCATCCAATCTTTTTTTAAATAAAATGTTAAATTCTGAAACAGTCTTTGGAGACAGACGTGATCCCAGCACTAGGGTAGAATAACTACAAGATTCTAAGAAATCTATGGAGTACTACTCTGCCATGAAGAGAAAATTGAGTCATCTGTAGGGAAACTGATGCACCTTGAGACCAAAATGTTAAGTAAAATAAATCAGATACATAAGATTAAGTATCTCACGGTTTCTCTAATATGAGAAACCGAAAACATAAATAAAGAACAAAATAAAAGATACATGTTAGGAAGCATGGAGACAGATCTTTCTAAAAAGGGAAGAGGATCAAAAGATGGAGGGGAGGGAAAGGGGATGAACAGAGGAATTAAGATGAGTTACATATATGTGCCAATCCCACACAAGGAATGTAAACATTATGTATGTAAACACATACAAAAGGTGGGGGGGATGAAATCAAGAGATGGATGAAAAGGGGAGGGAAAGAAAGAAAAAGGGATGAAAAGAAAGGAATTAAGATATATTATGTACACATACCAATTCCCAACAAGGAATGTGAACAAAACAAACTACAAAAAAATGTTTTAGTAAAAAAAGATTCTACAAAATCTTTTTGTGATAATAAAAAAATAAGCTCAAAGATTAATCAGAGCATGTTAAAAACAAAATAAAAAAAAAATCTTGGGAAGTTGAAGAGGTATCTACCTCCAAATTTGGGATAATTTGAACATTAGAAAGCATATTTCTGTTTTCTCTAAATCAAAACATTTACAGTGTAACTGCCTATAAATTTTATATACTGTATAAATAAAAATCCATGAAATTGGCTATCATTAACAAGGACTATACCATTTTACTCCTGACTCTGAAAAGTTGTAATTAGATTAATTAAGCATTTATCTTGCCTCCTCCCCATTCCCAGTTATTAACAAAAGCTCTTCCTTGCTGAATCATAACTAGTAAATATGTACAGAATAAAATAATGTGAAAACTCTAAGAAACTGAGGCATGAGGAGTCCAAGTTCAAACCCAGCCAGGGCAACTTAGACATCTTCTGAAAAGTGAAAACCAGTTTTTTCCAGCTCCAATTATATAACTGACTCAGGCAAATAGATGTTAGAAATTTGAGTGAAAGACGATTGTACAAACAATATATTCCCAAAGTACCAAAGTATCATCTCAGATTATTTGCTAAATGCAAATGGAAAAATATCTTTCAATAAAATGACCTGGTAGTTAGCATCTTAAGCAAGTAATCAATCACCCAACATTCTGTGCTTTTCAATATGATGCAATACATGTACAAACCTCTTCTATGAAGCATTTTTGCCAAAACTGCAGACTCTTAAGTCTTCCGTCCAAATGGGAAATACAGCAATAAGTTAAATGACACCATAAGGAAACAAATCCAGAATGTGTGATAGTCTACAAAATAACTGGCCTGGTCACATTAGAGAGTTGATATATAAAATAAATAAGATAAAATAAAAACTTTAAAAGGTATAAGAACTACTGCAAATTAGATTATATGGGATATTAAGCAATACCCACAAACTGTATGTTTCTTTCTCTGAGTGTGTGGCATAATAAAAAATACAGTGAAAGCTTTCATAAAAGAAAATGTATTATAATAAAAGACACATTGCCATTAATCCCTCTCAAAATACTCTCTCTCTAGGACTGAATGATGGATTAGATATGAAGTATGAGGAAACAAAAGAGTTAAAGATATTATCAAGGGGGCAGGGGATGTAGCTCAGTGGCGCCATGCCTGTCTCGCAAGCTCAAGGTCCTGAGTTCGATCCCTGGTACCAGGGGTGAAAAAAGATATTATCAAGGTTTTGATGTGATCAATGGCAGAGCCCTTTACTGAGAAAGCAAAGGCAAGAGAGCAAGTTTGGAGTCATTTTAAAATTTCCAATTATGGGCAACCTCACCATCAAACTAGGTATTATGAGGGAAAATTCCACCTAACAACTAAATCAAGAAGATATAGTAAGTTAAACTAATAAACAATTACAACTATACTTTAAAAAAAAATTCAAAGATATATACCAGAAAGAACTGAGGAAAAAAAGAATATATCATACCTAGAGGGGGAAAATATTCATAAAAAGCAAATTTTACCATCAGGAGTGCTTTTCGAAGCTTTTAAGGATTTTTCTTCATTTTCTATTATCCTGTCAAATTCATTTAACAAGCTTCTTTTGATTTGAGATTCTCCTAAAAGAAATTTCCATATATATTTGTAAATTACATCAATTTCATTTTTAAAACCTTAGAGTCTATTTAAAAAATAAAATACTGCTGGGAGTAGTGGTGCACACCTGTAAATCCAGCATTCGGGGAGGCTGAGGCTGGACGATCACAGTGAATTCAAGACCAGCCTGGACTACATAGTAAGTTCCAGGTCACTCTCAACTACATAGTGAGACCCTGTCTCAAACCCCCACACCCTTCAAAAATTAAAATACTGACTTTTACAATATGCTAAATAAAAACACATTGCGACTATTCCTTTTAAAAGAAAATTCATTTCTCAGTAACAATTTAATTTCTACCACTGATCATTTAAAGACAAGCTATTTTTTAAATAAAGTGGAACTGGTATAATTCTAAGCCTTGACAATAAGGATAAACAACATTTCTTCATACTGACTTTTTCTGGGTTGGCAGAAAACTCATGAATGAATTTATTATATAGGTCCATGAGTTAGGAGTCAGTAGGTAGAATATTTTTTAAATTACTAAATCATGGTCCAGGGATTTAGCTCAGTGGTTCTGCCGCCTGCCACACAAGCAAAAGGACCCGAGTTCGACCCCAGGTACCAAAAAAAACAAAACAAAACTAAATCATATTAAAATATTAGTAATAGTCATAATTTTCATCCCTCTCTTTTTGGTGGTCCTGGTGATTGAATCTTAGGCCTCATACATGCTAAGCAGTTGCTCTACCACTAGCTATGTGCCCAGACATTAATAATTGTAACACTTATTATTTAAAAATTCTGACCTGGAAATAAAACTCAGTAGTAGAAGACTTGCAGAGGCTAAGATAAAACCACAATTCAAGTGCTCACTTTGGCAGAACATATAATAAAACCATAACTCAAGCTATGCATTTCTATGTTATGCTGAAATATATGGTTAACAAATATTTTGATTTTTTGAAGGTTTATTAGAGAGAATTAATTTGTAGGATTTAGTAAGTAAAAATGTCCATGCAAACCTTTCTCAGGGGTTTAATTGTTCAAAAAAGAACATGCACTATTTAAATATCCAAAAGTTGATAAAGCTATATATTCATATATAACAGAAGTGAGAGAAATAATATAGTAACACTGTTGAGAATATTTAAAAGTCTGAGTTGTTTTTGTTCTAGATGAAGGATGAACAATTAGTGTCCAACTAGAAGTAATGTTTTAAAATTCGTTAAAAGGAAAGCAAGTCTTCTCTGGTAATAAATAATGTTTAAAATTAAAATAGCAACAAAATATTATTTAGGAATATGCTGGTAATAAAAAATAAAACAAATCAAAATAACTCAAAGAATTTAAGCCGTTGCAGCTGAGAAGAAACTAGTTTTTTTTTTAACAAACGACTTTAATACAAAATTTTAAAAATTTCAATTTTTTTTTTTGTGATTTTTTTTTTTTTTTTTTTTTTTTTGGTACTGGGGATTGAACTTGGGACCTTGCACTTGCGAAGCAGGTGGTGGAACCACTGAATTAAATCCCTGGCCCTTATTATGGATATCTTTTAAGTACATACACTTCTGATCTTTCTGCTAAAGGACATCAAATAATTTCAGGTATTATAAACTATTTGCCCATGAAATAAACTGTACAGAATGTAACCTGTAAAACAGTAATGTAAATCTGTACCCAGTAGCGTGACTTAATGAACTGGTTTCAGTTATCTTTTCTGCAACATGAAAGGGCTGGACAAGATTTTTTTTTTTTGGTACCAAGGATCGAACTCAGGACCTTGTGCTTGTGAGGTAGCCATGGTGCTGCTGTGCTAAATCCCCAGCCTTGGACAAGATTTTTGATAACTGAAATAATTTATGAGTCTATAGTTATCTAAAAGTAGCTAGTTATTTAACATCTAAGTAAGAGTTGGAGACTGTTTCACCATTTACTTTAAATGTAACTAATCACCAGATTCAGTAACTTAAAGATTATATAGTCAGAGACTACCAGAAAACACCCCCACACTTAAGATCCTCAAAACATGACTTTTTGGTACACAAACTTAAGAGATATCAAGAATCAAATCACATTCTCTCAAACTACATGTAAAACCCCTAAGTAAAATAAACTTATAACACTCTAATCTCTAGAACATCAGGACTATTGTGACTGAACACTTTTAGAAGACTGGAAAACCTAAAAAAATGCTTACCAATTGAAACAAGGGCATCTCTTCTTCTTTTTCCAGTTCCTGAATTTAACAAAATTCTTTTATTTTTTTGGCATGTAAGAAGTGTACGTTTGGGATGACTTGGTGGTTCATAATCAGTCAGTTCATCATCTTCCATAAAAGCTTTGGCAATCTCCACTGCTTCCGTTTCAAAATAGTTTTCTGGTTCTTTATGGTGAGAACATACTTCTGCACTTTTCACAGAATCATGAGGAAAAGTTTCAGTTTCACCAATTTCCATTTTATTTTTGGGTAAAGACTGTTCTTCCCCCAAAAGATGAACGTTCTCAAAAAGTAATGCTTTGGTTCCTAACATCAAGTGTTGCTTGTCTTGCTTAAACTGAGAGCAATATGGAGAAACTTTAATAGAGTGATTACTTTCTGATGAACTGCCTTCGGTGTTATAGTCACTTGATAATTTAAATTCATTATTGAAGGTTTTCTCCATTTTAGAATCTATAGTGTGGCCCGGATTTTTATCACTACAAACAGGAATCTTCGATACATCTAGCTTAGATGAAGGTGAATGCCCAAGAATATATTCATTTCTTATTAAATCAAATTCCTCTAACATTCCCTTAACTTTATGTAAGGCATTTTCTGAAATTGAAACCTGTTTTCCACTCGCTGTGCTAAAACCAGAGAAAGATGAATTTACATTATGTTGAAAGTTTTTTGGAACTGACAGTACTTTCGGGGGGGTATGCATTATAGTACATTCTTTTGTGAATTGGTCTGAATGTTCATTACTTTTAAATACTTTAGAAAAGAGTTGCTTTGCACTATCTGTTTTAGAAAACACCTGTCTTGCCTTTTGTAACGAAGCATCTGATACTTCTACAGATTTTCCACTCGCTGTGCTAAAAATTCCATAAATATTTGTAGAGATAGAGTTGGGAAGATTCCCTTTATTATTAAATTTACATATATCTGAAGTTTTCAAGCTAACATAATGTGGTCTTTCAGAAACTTTCTCCAATTCAGATATACTTTTATTACATTGTAAACTTCCTTCACCTTCAGTACCAGCAAAAACTTTACATGAATGTGTATATTCATCATCTAGAGAGTTAGGAAAAATAATATCCTCTGCATTAGAAGCTGTAACAGTTTTTCTTTGGCAAGTGTTTGATTTACTCTCAGTGCTTTGGTTAATCATCTTGTTATTCTCAGTGTTTTCACTAATTACCTTATTGCAGCTTTCTGTAAATATCTTTTTTACTTTTTTAATTGAGTCTTGTGAAATAGGGACCATTTTACCACTGGCTGTACTGAACACAGGTGGCCTTACCTCAAAATTATCTGAATCAGATACAGCCAAGTTAATGGCTATATTTTTATTTTTGCACGATGAAGTATTAGTCATGGGTTTCTGAACACAATTATCTTTACTTATGGTTTGTGGATATGTGTTTACTTCTTTTACAGTGGATACTTCAGGAAAGCCAGTTTTATTATCTTCGACATTCATGATTGAATCAATACCAGAATCAATTCTATTTTTTGAGAGATACCCTGAATCATCATATGTATCATCACAATGACAAACATTGGAATGGTAGCTATCAGACGTGCTACTGTTATTCAAATGAGTTAAATTTTGTTTTTCAGAGAGATAAATTTTGTCATTTTCAGTTATGATACTGCTTGAACTAATTTTACTCAAAGGATTTCCTACATAATCCTGAGAATATTCTTTTACACATACAACATCAGCAGTATTTATTTGTTGTTTATCATCCAATTCTCCTTTAGGCCACTTTGTCACTTCAAATAGTAAAGCTGGATTCACAGAAATTTTTTCACCGTGTCCTGTGAAAAATCCTAAAGATTCTTCAATAGCTGAATCAGGGACCAGATTTGTGCAAGAAGTTGTAGGGTTGTTTGCGGTTTCTTTTTCTACACTTTCATGTACTTTAACTTTCAAAGAGATACTACTTGATGTTTCGAGATTTTCAGTTTGTCTTTCTAAACTATCGCTGGGTAGCATCCCAGTTTCACTAAAGTTTTTATTATTTAAGGAATTCTGCATTTCTTCACACACTGGGGTATCTGTTACCTCAACTGTTTCACCTGCTAACCCAAGCCCTTTACAGTCCTCTCTGTCTTTTCTGGTCTTTGCTATTCTGTGACTCAATTTGGTAATTTTACTACTAACATCTTCATGTTTTTCATCAAAAAGATTTTTCACTTTGTCCAAAGATTCCTGTGCAATTCTTACTTTTTTCCCACTAGCTGTATGAAAACCCAACAGGTTAGGTTCTTTGTTATTTCCTATTTTACATTCAGGTTGTTGAAAGAGACTTAACTGAGTTCCAGTACCAGTTAGGGTACTTTCTTCCAATATTTTGTTGTTCATCATGTTTGTTTCCTCACTACCTGAAACATCCATTTTGTTCCTTATGCCAGGAAGTAATTTAGAATTCAAAGAATCTGAAAAGTCATTCCATTCTTCTGGTTTTTGATCAAAGAAATTTACAACTTTACTTAATGAGTCTGTGGTGATGCTGATATTTTTCCCACTTGCAGTCTGAAAGAGTGTATTTAAATTGTTTGTATTTTGTTCCATTTCACCTGCAGATAACTGTTCTTTATTTGAGCTAATGTAACATGTCTCTTCAGCCTTTACAACTTCTAAACAAGTTAAATCTGATAAACTTTCTTTAAGCTGTGTGCTTCCTTCACTCATAAACTGGCTAGATAATTTAAGATGCACACTGTGCTGATCATTACATGGCAAATCATTATCTTTGTGAACATAAACGGTATCATTTTTACTTGAATTGCTGCCACCAGATTTTCCTAATTTACAAATATTCCTACTGGTACCAATATATTTGTTATCTTTATTTTCTGTATTTCTCATACAATTTTCAGTGTTTTCTTCAATGAAAATGCCAGTAGTCATTTCAATATTGTTTTGTAATACTAGTTGGCAATTATTTATATTTTTATCATTGTTATGATTTTCTACCGTAAACCCTGAAACAACAGAATTGTAACATTTACTTGAAGAGAAAATTGGATTTACTTCTGTAGAAGTCTCTTCACTAATATTTTCAATGTCACTGAACAGTTTTATAGCTTTCTGTAGAGCTTCATTAGAAATACTCAGTTTTACACCGAGACCTGAATAAAAACCTCTAAACTCCACTTCACTTTCATCTGCTAAAGAACCAGCAGCACTTTTGTTATGACTGTTGTTCAAGAAGCAAGCCAACTTTTGTTTAACTCCTTCAACTTTTTTACTGCTGTCTATCTGATCAATAGATGAGGCATCAATTGTGGGATGAAGATCACCATCTTTCCATTCCTCAGAAATGGTATTTAAGGCAGTTGTCCAGTTTCCAGGCACTTCAAATATATTACTTTGTATTAAGTGGCTTGCTTTTCTGAACTGTGTAAATTCAAACTGACTTCCTGATTCTTCTAATATAGTAGAAAGTTCTGTAACTTCTGCCTTTTGGCTAGGTGTTAAATTATGGTTTGAATTAAAATCTTGCTTTAATGGTAACATCTGGGAGGTCGAGTGGTTATTTTCACAATCAGAAATAGATGGACTATTCTGCACACATGTAGACACACTGCTAACTGACTGTGAATCAAATGCATGAGGTTTGTTTAATTTCTTTTGGTTACTTAATAAGGTATTTACAATTTCAACAGAAGCAGAACTATTAGGATACTGTCCTTCAATATCTTTGAAGAGCATTTTGCTTTTCTTAATGTTATGTTCAGAGACTTTTATTTCTTTATTGGAAGCTGTTCTGAAATTACCTCCAAAAGTGTGACTCAAACTTGGATTTGTCCACTTGGGTGTGTAATCGTTATTCCTGTTTGTTTTCATATCCAAGGAGATGTCTGATTTCAAGTCTGATTTCTGAATTTCAAGTCCTGAAGTTAGATGCTGCTTTATACTATTTCTATTCTCTTTGAGCTCATGGATTGTATTTGATGGGTCAAAGTCTTCAGTAACCAGCACTTGGACTGCTTGTTTGTCATGTATGTCTGTATCTACTACCATGGCACAGTTCTGGAGTATAGGTTCTTTCATAAAACTAAAATCTAATCCACAAATTTCCTTAGTCTTTCCTAAAACAGGACTATTCCTCTCATCAGTTATTTGAAAGACAAAATTCTCACTGCTTGCGAAAAGTTCTTCAGAGTTTGGACTGGCAGTTATTTCTGAAATTAAAGAAGTTTCTTTTTGGATTACTGTTAGATTTGTATTATGGTTGAATGGCATCTTCATTGAAGGTGATACTCCTGTTATGTGTTTTGCAGGTGACAACAGCTCAACTTTTTTAGAATTTCCATTTAAAACACACATTTCTTCATTTTCTTCAATGGAAGCATTTTTGGCTAATTCAACACCAGCTTCACAATTTTTATATTTTAGTTTCTCTGACATTTGGTGTGATTCTTTTCCTTTAGGATTTGAAAGAGGATTCTTGGAGCTAGGAGTTAACGTAAGAGGGCTGGTAGTATCATGGCCATCAAAAAAGCTTTTCTGTGATTGAAATGGAATATCACTGTATTCTACCTCTGAATGATGAACTTCAGGCTGATATGCTGCAACCAAGACGTTTTCCTCTGTATCTGAAACTTTCTGGTTTTTTGGATCATCTTTATGCTGTCTTTTCTGATGGCATGACAGAAAATCAGTTTGTGGGAGTATAAATAACTGTAGTTTTTCTTCATTAAGTTTTGCTTCTTTATAATTAAGATCTTGAGATATTATTGTATTAGTATAATTGCTTTCATTATTGGAGCATTTTCTCAGATTTGTCCCAGAAGAGTTGGTTGAAAAGGTCAACTCATCAGCATCATTCTGTAAACAGTTTCTTTTGACAGAAGAATGCAATAAACCTAAAGAAGAAAAGGTGACAATATAAAATTAAAACACTCAATTCATTAAATATTCTACTAAACAGTAGTGTTTAAAAAAAGAACTACATGAAAAACAAAAAGTGAGTGTCAGATTTAAAACAGAATTCTACGTATTCTCTATTATGAAGGTAATACATTTTCCAGCCAAACATAAAGGCAGCTTTGGTATTTTTTTAAAAAAAATAACATATCAACACATTAAAAATTACCATTTATACAGCTATCATAAATAAAACTCGAATTTCAAAAAAACTCTTTTAATTTTTATTGGCATATTAAATTGGAAAAAAATTTATTGCCAGTACTAGTATGGTAGGAGACAGAAAATGCAAGGGAATGAGAAAACTAACAATTTCCCATAGTTAATTTTTTTGTGTTGAAAAAACAATTCAAAGAAAACAGAGTCTATGTAAGAAGGCCTTGAAAGATGACCTTATGTCAGTTATAAAGGCAAATGAGCTATACTGATGTTAATGTTCTCTATCCTTTCAATTTCCTATTAAATCAAAGTTCTTAATCTCATTTAACCAGTGATTACAATATACTGCTTCATTAACTTTAATGCTTATAAAAAATATATATATATATATATATTTTTTAATATATGCATACAAGTATACAAAATGAGACATTTTTCTTTGGAAATTTAACTCAAACCTCAGTTACTCTGTACTCCATTATCTCCAATTCTATTCACTACCGTTATGACATACTGACATTTTCTCAAAAAGAGATGAATTTACCTTTTTTTCTTTTGAGATGAAGTTTTATGCTGCCCAGGCTGTCCTTAAACTCCTAGGCTCAAGCAATGCTCCTATCTCCCAAGTAGTTGTGACTACAAGTGAGCGGCACCATGTGAGGGTTTAAAACCACTTTGTAAACATCTAGTTTAGTTATTGTTAAGTGAATTGTTACCAAAACAAAAATGGACTTTCACTGTTTATACTCTGGAGACCCAAAGACATAAGCAATAACTCTAAGTAATCTCTAAATATTTTAGAAGTCTATGTAACAATATTTTAGGACTGTCTTACATTAAATTTAATTAGCAATTTGCTTTTTATTTTTTTGCATGTTTTAGAGAAAATACATAGCAACTAGCACCACATATATAGAGTTGCTCAATTTGTACATAATGAGCACTTTTAAAATTAAAACAGGAATTAAGTAGTCAAACTCAATGTTTTTAAGTCAGAATCTGTCTTAGCAGTGATGAAGCCAGGCATAATGGCACACACCTGTAGGACGCCTTAGGAGGCTGATGCAAAATGATTGCTTGAGATGTGCAGCAAGACTGTTTAAAAAACAAAACCTGTGCAAACTGATCTAATTTTGATTATGAATATAAAAGATCTAGAAAAAAACTACAGAAGCAGGAAGTGTTTTTTAAAAGGCTAAAGAAGTTCACATTATCAAGAGAACTTACCACCACTCATAAAACTATATGCACAAATTAACAACAACAACAAAAAGACAACTGCCCCCACCAAATGGTACCTGCATCAGCATTTGCAAATGTAAGTGATGCTTCAAAACCATCTGCTTCAAATTGGGCTGAATTGTTGGCTGGTTCTCTTGTTTGCTCTTTCTGCATTTTCTTTCTTTGACAGGATGCTTCATCATTTATAGCATAAATAAACTTTTTTGTTTTCTTTTTCAAAGTGGATATTAAACTTGTATTCTTTAAAGTTGCAGAAGAATGTGTGATAGTGGCTGGCAAGCTTCCATTATCAACTGAACTCAGACATAAAGAATCTTCTTTCTGTGAGTAAACAGTATATATTTCCAATCCTATTTTAGAGGCTTCAGTTTCTTCTTTAAAGTCTGGATTGGTCACATTATCTGAGAAAAGGGTACAAAAACTCTCTTCAGATGGTTCTCTTATCTTGAATATAGACCTTTTTATACCGTGAAATAGAGGAGTTACTGGAGGAGTCCCGGATATTGCCTCTCTCACTGCAAAAATGGAGTCTTTATGAGATTCAGGATGCTGCGCTTCATCTCTCTCATCTACAGGTTTTTCATTTGATATCTTTTCTGGTAGACGAGAAATATGTGGCAAAGAATTTTCTGAAGTACTATGGTTTGCACATTCTTTTTCACTATCTATTAAGTATTTTTCAGAATTATTTTGGTCATAAGAAACAGACAGTAGAGGTATTTTCTTAGTCTGGGTTGCATTTAGACCTGGAAGTGCTGGTTGAGACCATTCAGAACCTGAAGATGGTATGGCTTCCTTGGAGATTTTGTCACTTTCACTGCCAAAAGGCTTTTGACTTGGTACATTTGAATCTAAAGGATCACTATCACTTGGTTCCATTTCAGATGCAAATAAATATTTATTTTCTTTCATTTGTTTTTTAGTTTCTTTGTAGTTATCTGTTCTTCTTTCATGGAAAATTTTTTTCCTAGTCTTGCTTGTTCTTTTTTTTGGTAAATTTCCCGTTCTATACTTAGAAAAAGATAGTGAAAAACTATCTTCTTCAGAAATGCCTGTAACTGTTTCATGTACTTCATCTTCTAGGGCATTTGGCATTAAATTTCCAAAGTGATCTTTGCAGCAACTTACTTTTCCAAATGAATTCCCTACCATTTTCCCCAATCCTGTTAAAATTTAAAACAGAGGTACATTAATGATTTTTAAAAACAGCTGTAATTTATATTAGTCTTGCCTTTCTAAGACATATTGTATGTTAAATAACACATAATTTCACATTTAAATGGTTATGCTGGGTGCTTTTTTCCCCCAAGTCACCTTTCCCTATTCTTCTGGTAAAGCTGATGCCAACATACCCAAAGCCTTTTATTCATAGTCCAATCCCTAATAATCTTCCTTTACCAGCTCTAAACAATCAAAGCTCACATGTAAAATTACTATATTTTCAATTAAATATTTAGGACTTATCAAACCAGATATTACTAATCAATATAGTGGTGATACAACTGAGAATAAAATCTTACTATACATATGTGTGTGTATAAACATACGTACACACTCCTAACATGATACCACACACAAAGCCAATACTACAAATTTTAGTCACACACAAAGAAAAATGTATATTTCAATGACCTGACTGTAACCTGTAATACATCTACGTTTGCTTTCTAATTAAAAAAAAAACTTCGCAGTTAAACATGTATTATCTCTGCAAAACAAGTGGTAGGTTTTGTTTTTGTGATACAACATATTAATACTTAGTATGATGTTTAAATATTGTCATCAAATTTAGTTGCTACCTTAAATATCTTGACTTTAACAGCCAAGACAGGAAGTATATTTTCTCTGTTAAGAAAAGAGGATCAATGACATCAGTTAAAAATAGTAGTTCACAGGAGGTCCTCTTAACTCAGTTGGCGAGTACTTGCCTAACAAGTGCAAGGCCTTTGGTTGGACCCACAGAACTGCAGCCCACTCCCCAATGGAAGTTCAATTAAACAGAAAGACTTACCATGATGGCTAGCTTCTTTTTGATTTTTGTTTTCATTGTTCACCACAGAAGGGATAAATTTATCAATTTTTTTCAGATTTTCATCATGGTTAGAAAAAGAGCGCTTCAAAATCTGTAAACATTGAAGAGGATATAAGAAAATGGAAAGACATCCCTTGCTCCTGGGTAGGAAGAACCAACAGAGTGAAAATGGCCATACTACCAAAACTGCTACACAGATTCAATGCAATCCCAAATGAAATTCCAAAAGTGTATTTCACTGAATTAGAGAAAACAATAAAAAAAAATTCATTTGGAACCAGAAGAGACCTAGAATAGCAAAAGCCATTCTAGGCAACAGAGATCTGGCAGGGAGTATCACAATTCCCAATTCGAAGGTGTACTTACTACAAAGCCACTGAGATAAAAACAGTATGGTACTGGCAAAGAAACAGACCCAAGGATCAGTGGAATAGATTAGAAGATGCATAAATAACACCAGACATAGTCAGCTACCTTAGCTTTGACAAAGGAGTTGACCATTCTCACTGGAGGAAAGATAGCCTCTTCAATAAATGGTGTTAGAAAAATAGGCTTTCAACTTGCCAAAGTTTAATACTAGATCCCTATCTTTCACCATGCACTAAACTAAAATCCAAGTGGATTAAAGATGTAAATATTAAAACAGGAACACTAAACTTGTTGGAAGATAAGCTAGGTAGAACTACTGAACACACTGGCATGGGAAAATACTTTATGAACAAATCCTCAGTAGCACAGGAACCTGCACAAAGAATCAACAACTGGGATCTCATCTTATTAAAAAGCTTCTGCACTGCAAGAGAAATCACCAACAGAGCTAAGAGACAACCTACAATGTGGGAAAAAAAATTTTACCAGCTGTTCCTCAGACAAAGGTCTACTATCTAGAATAAAGAAATAAAAAAATCAGGCCCCCAATATAAAGATCTGATTCAGAAATGGATATCTGAACAGCCATTTCTCAAACACAGAAGTAAAAGCAGCAAATAAACATATGAAAAAATGTTCAATATCACTGGTCATTCGAGAGATGCAGATGAAAACAACACTGAGATTCCACCTCACCCCACAAAGAATGGCTGCTATCAAGAAACCAATCAATAACAAATGTTGATGGAGTTGTGGGGAGAAAGGAACCCTTCTCCATTGTTGGTGGGAGGGCAGTCTGGTGCAACCACTGTGGAAATCAATATGGATAAACCTTAAACAACTAGGATGAAGCCGGGCATGGTGGCTCACACCTGTAATCCCATCATTCAGGCTGAGGCAGGAGGATCGCTGTGAGTTTGAGACCAGCCTGAGCTACATAGCGAGTTCCAGGTCACTCTCAACTACATAGTGAGACCCTGTCTTAAAAACCAAAAACCAAAAACCAAACACACACACACACAAAACCAACTAGGATGAGAATTTTTTCACCCAGCTATTCCCCTGCTGGGTATCCTGCCAAATGAATTAAAAGAATCATACCACAGTGAAATATGTGCACCTATATTTACAGCAGCACAGTTTATAATAGCTAAAACTTGGAAATAACCCACCCATTAACTGGAGACTGGATAAAGATTTTTTTTTAATAAAACGGAGTACTTACTACTCAGCCATAAAGAATGAGAAACTAGAGACATTTATAGCTAAAAGGATGCACAATGAGGCCATACTCTTTGTTGAAATTAATAGGACACATTTGAGTAAATACCAAGTAGCTTGTCTGGTGTGAAAAACTAAAAGTGTAAATAAGGTTCAAATGGTATAATTGATAATGTAAATAGGAAGAAAATGTCTAAAGGAGAAGGGGAAGTGGGAAGGGTAGGGAAAAGGAAATAAGGGAAAAGAAAAAATATGAAAAAAAGGAAAAAAATGGAAACAAAGTCTTTGTAAATAGGGAAGGGTGAAGAGAGTGAAGGGAGGGTAGGAGAATGGGGAAAAAATAAGAATTAAGATCCATCATGTAAAGGCAAAAGATCCCAATGATGAATGTAACTGTATTGTTTACTTTAAATGTACCAGAAATCTTAATGAAAATTCCTGCAAACATTTTTTAAACTCACTATTATAAAGACTTTCAATGTACACATACATGCAAGCTACTTTTACGCACTGAGACAGCAGAGTTTTTGCAGAATGTCAATGAGCTTTCTTAAAGGATCAGGTTTAGAAACTTACTCAAAGCTTAGGCAAATTATAAATCAGAGAATGCAAATGAAGAATATATGATTTATCAAAGCATTTTTTTTTTTTTGTCTGAGACAAGGTCATACTATACATATAGTCCCAAATTTGCCTCGGAGTCACTTTGGACCCCAGGCTGACCTCAAACTCAAGGCATTCTTAAAATGTAAGGAGTTTCAAATTCAACAGTATCATCAATTTAACATATTTACTTACATCAGTGGTATCATTAGGAAATATAGTTTCAGATGCTTCCTCATCTCTGACTGTAAAATAAAGATTCAATTTACTTGTAATGTTTTATCATACACTAAAATTTTATTTTTTAGTCAGAAAACACAATGTACCTACATGACTTAATTAAATGACACATTTAAAATAAAGTCAATTGGCTAAAGTACAGTAACTGGAAAGATCAATAAGGCCATACTTATAATTCCTTTGCAACACTCATGAGGTAAGAAATTATGGGTTGGTGATTCCCACCTTTATGATAATGTCTTAAATCACTTGGAAAATCAGACAAAACTGAAGGGTCAGGATTTAAAAAGCTAAAGATTTGAGATTTGAGCATTTATTTAGACAATAATACAGCCTACGTGTATACTGTACGTTAAATAATTCTTAGTTTTTATGTAAGCAACAACAAAAAAAAGTTAGATCAATCCCAGCTAAAGAGGAATCAAAATGGAATTTTATTTTGCTAGAGAAACTCCCCCAAAAAAATCCTGATTTGGGTATAAATTCATGCTTTCAGTACATTCTACAATAATATATACATATATATATATATATATATACACATACACACACACACACAATAATCATGACTCTGTACTTCCATGCATATATATACACACACAAAAGTTACAAGTTTTATAAAGCAAATTTTACTATGTGTAAGAAAGCTGGATAAACTGTATCTCATTAAACTTGAATTTCACATTAACAATAAATAACTTCTGCGTGTATCTGTGAAATAACATAATAAGAATTACTCAGTTTCTCTTAAATTTAAATCTGACCAGACGTACATACTATATTTTCACTTGCTAAATCTGACAACCCTAACTATATTCTTATTTTTCTATTCTTTGTTTGTTTGTTTTTTGAGACAGGGTCTCACTATGTAGTTGAGACTGACCTGGAACTCACTATGTTGCCCAGGCTGGTCTCACAGCGATCCTCCTGACTCAGCCTCCTAAGTGCTAGGATTACAAGCATGTGTCACCATGCCCGGCTAATTTTTCTATTCTTTATATTTCATTAAAAAAGAAAAACTGTGCGGATTCAAAATTTATTTCTCAACTAAATATTTTTCTGCAATTTAAAAAACAGCGATCCATCTCAGTATCTTATAAAAATAGATCAATGTCACTGGTATTTACTTTATTATTATCCAATTTTTCATGTCTTGACTATAAATTGAGATATATTGAGATTAATTTCCAAATTCTTGTCCACACTGTATTTAATCACATTTACAGACATTTCTTTAAACTTAAATGTTTACTTAATATTATAAATTAAAAAGAAATCATAATAGCGTCTCAATATTAAGTCATGATTAGTCAAAGTACAGCTACTCAGAGATTTTTAAGTTGCTTTACAATAATAAATACTTCTAGATTAGTAAATTAATGGAACTGCTACCTGTTTACTCATCATTCTAAACAGTACTAGAGAAATACTTAAAATATATTCTTTTGCTTAAAGATTTGTTGAATATCAACTATATGCCAAAAAACTGATGAGCCTTCACAGGGCTGAGTTCAATAGGCAGATAAATTAAGTATTTCAGATAATCACACAGACTATAATTACACTTATCAAATTTAAGACCTCAATTGAGCACAACTGGTAATACAGACCTATACATCAGATTTAAGCAGAGAAGCAGTTTATTTAATGCTATTTTAATGCCAAAGTATCAAAATTACTTGTAAAATATTCATAGTTAAACCAAATATTAGCTCTTAAATGCTTAACATAAAGCTATTATGGATTAAGGATACGATGCTAAAAAGTAATGCTCAACTCTTTTACAGAATACCACTTAATGTATTTGTGATTTATTCCACTTTACATTAAATGGAATAAAATTATTCTGAACACACTTTCAAAGATAATATTATTTAATATTTTCCCATTTCACGTTCGTTAGAGATGACAGCTGATTAGTCTCATCTACCTTTTCTTATACAGGTCACATTTGCCATTATTACCTATGAGCACAGTAGAACTAAGAGTTGGTGGCGTAGCTAAAGAACTTGACCAAGACATATCAGGATCCACCTCAGCTCCTAGACTTTCAGAAATATGTTTTGGTGTCTGACCCTAGAAAGAAATGCAATAGTTTATTTCACAGATACAGAGTGATGATAGAGAGTATTTTTTCATTTTTCATTTACTGAATGCCTATATACAGATCTATAAATCGCACAGCAAGGTATGATACCACTGTCAAATTCTTAATTAATACACCATAACAATAAGCCGAGCAAAGTATTTACCTTTATAAGCCAAGGTGTATGAAATAAACTTTCACATATCACTGGAGGTGAAAAAAGGAGAAATTATTAAATTTTATTTTTATTAATATTTCAATAATTCTAAAAAATAGAAAACCTTGTTTTCAATCATACCTGGCTTTTCTCTTTGTGGTGTTACTTGTGTACACTGTAGAACAAGAGGACTAAAATGAGACAAATTTCTCAGGTTATTAAAAATATAACAAATGGCAAAAAGAAAAATAAAACCACAAGTCAATCTTTTTTTTTTTCTTTTTGGTACCAGTGATCGAACTCAGTAATTCGTTCTTGTTAGGCAGGTGCTGTGCCACTGAGCTATATCTCTGGACCAAGTTAATCTTATTTTCAAAGAGACTCAATCATACTTAATGACAGAATTACAGTATTTTTAAATATTTCTGTGACTTTTTCAAAAAGTCAATCTCCTGAAGAATTAAGTAGGCTACTTACTAGGTGATGTTAAAACACCCACTGAAAGCAATAGTACTCACAAATTTTAGCTACCAGAAACTGTGTATTTTGAATTGAAAAATTATGTAACATAAATCTGTAATGGCATATTTCCCAAAGTACACAAAATACTTATTTTAAACTGACACTTCAAGGAACTTTAGTGCTTTACCATTAATGGCCTTGTTATTTAGAAAGCCACAGAATATACAGAACACTAGAGAATTCAACATTACAAGAAACACAAAGCAAATATTTCTAACATAAAAATTATGCAATTAAAGGACTTAATCTGGTGCTCAGTCAAAAATATTAAGATAGGGCTGGAGATTTAGCTCAGTGGTTCCGCTGCCTGCCTCACAAGTGCAAGGACCTGAATTTGATCAGCCACCCCCCACAAATTAGATTCATTTCTATGAAACAAATATATGTAGGAAAATGTTTCATTCTAGTTTTTTTCCCAGTCCTAGGGATTAAACACAGGGCTTTCACGTGGAGCTACATCCCCAGACATTTTTATTTTTATTTCTGAGACATGGTTTCACTCAGTTGCACTAAATTGCCTGGGATGGGCTCCAACTTGCAATTCTTTTCTCAGCTCCCTGAATGCTGAAATTACATTTGTGTGTCACCATGATCTGCTTCATTTCAATATTTTAGTATGATAGCTTCATCGTACCTTTCACTGAAACAAGAATTTACAGGTGGACTGGCAACATCATTTGCTTGGTCAACTTTAGCCTTCACTGTGCGATGATTTTTAAGTTCACTATTGTCAATATCCTTTCCTGAAACAGTATAATCATTCAGAAAAGATTAAACAATCTTAATTTTGAAATTTTGTACTTAAAAACAAAAAGTCTCATCTACACTAGGAAGAATATATAGGGAGCTATCTCTGCCCCAAAGGGATGTCTTCCAAGTCAAGCGTATCAAGCATATAATATTCATCAGACCTCTTGGGTAATACTCCAATTCAAGATACAGCTTTAACCTCAAAGAATTCATAATCTAATATGATACATTTAAAAAAATATTCACAAGTAGAATATGAAACATTCTCCTCTTAAGTTAGAGACACTACTATATTAGAGAATATCAAAAAGGATAAAAGAAATAGAAAAGACATTATTTGAAAACCTACCAAGGTATTGAATCTGACCATATTAACCTGCTGCTGAAAAAAGTCTGCAGAGATCCTGTTTTCGAGATCAACTTCATGGGCTAGAGATGTAGCTCAGTGGTGCAGTGCCTGCCTGGCAAGCATGAGGCCCAGAGTTTGATTCCCGGTATTAAAAAGAAAAATTAGAAGATCAAGTTCAAACACTGCAATGAAACTGTGCAGTAATAAAGCCTTTGATAAGACGTTGCTTCTGTTTTTAATGGTAGGAATTGAACCCAGGGCCTTGCACACGTTGAGTATGTACTCTACCACCAACCCATAGCCTAACCCAGTTTGATTTCTTCCTTTTTATGATGCCATTCTTATACATTCTACTGTTCAGCTCTACCGAACCCTGCACATCCTGGAAAAATGCTCTCTTCAATCTATACTACTCTGTACGAGTTATACTTTTTTGCTCTTCTTGTCTTGACTTTGACCATACTTTTTAAGGCTTGCATCTAGAAACTAACTCCTATAAAAACAGTTAGTATACCCTATTAATGGTGAGTATAGGTACCAGACCTTTACGTGTGTTTCCTGGAGTTTATCATAAAATGTTTCTTCCATTATTGTGTGAGCTCCTTGTGGCACAGATTATGTCCTAACACTGAATGCTACAAAACTAATGCCTGATATATTACGATCACTCTACATGTACTTGTTAAATCAGGTAGCTGTAATAAAAGAAAATTGTAGATAGCAGTATGCTTCTATTCTCATCAAACACTTTTACTTGCTAAGACAGTAGCAGAGTTTCTAAAGCTGTAAGTAGCTCTGTCAGTATCAAATCCTATTTGTAGTTTTTCAATATTCCTTGACTCTCCAGGGTAAAAAGTACTCAAGTGGTTCTACTGGTTGGTAGTGCCTACAGTTTTGGCACCCAAGGCATTTATTATAATTCTTAGAAAATAATGCTTTTAATAATAGTTGCTTTAAGTCCAGCCTGGGTGATTTAGCATCTTAGCAAGAATACATCTTGAGCCAAGAGTTTGGTTCAGTGGTTCCACTGCCTGCCTAGTAAGCACAAACAAGGGCTCAAATTTGAACCCTAGTAAAAAAAAAAAAAAAAATGGTGGTAGCTCACTTTGAAGGCCCTGAGTTCAATCTCCAATATTGAAAAAATCATATTTTGGAAAATAAGCTGTATCGCTTATTTATATAATAAATAATTCATATGTTATTTTAAAAAGTAAGTACTGCTAACCAGGCATGGTGGTACATGAATCTCACCACTGAGGAAGACTAAGGCAGGAGGATCTTAAGATTGAGTCTGGCCTAGGCAATTGATACCCTATCTCAAAAAATAAAAAGGGCTGTGGATATAGTTCGGTGCATAGGCCCTGGGTTCAATTCACAGTACCATCACCACCAAAAAAAAAAAAAAAAAAAAA